CTTTTACTCTTGGATTAAAACAATTATATAATTTTATTGTAATTATTATTATTTACAATAAATAATATTATACTCATTTTTAATCCAAGAGTAAAAGTGTAAATTTATATTCATCTATTAAATTTTTTATTTTTATCTATCGTTAAATTTAAAGCAAATATGTAAATTAAATTATTTTTAAATTAATATTTTATATTTATTTTTTTAGTTAAAATTTATATATTTATCTTTTAATTATAATAATTATAAAATTTATTTTAATCTAAGGGCAAAATAGTAATCTTATACAATTATCAATTAAAAAATTTATTTTTATCTATCACATCAATCAATTCACTCACAAACTTTCACAAACTTTCTCAACACTTTTCACTCACTTTTTCTTAATCCAAACAACCTCATTTTCCACTCACTTTCCCTTCAAATCCCTCCTTTTCCACTCCCCCTTTTCCATCCTCAAATCCAAAAAATGTCTAAACAAGTTTTTACACCATCCTTTAATTAAAAGTAACTTTGAGTGTATTACATTTAAGATAAGTATGGTAAAAGTCATTATAAGTTGCAGTTGAATAACACTTTTAGTATATATGGTTTTTTTTTTTCTCGACATCAATTACGAAGTGTGTTTAGTAGAATGAAAATAATTATGTAAAAATAAAATAAAAATAAATGAAAATAAATATGTAAAAATAAAGTGAAAATTAAGAGTGTTTGATTTAAAAGAAATAGAAAAGGTTAATACAAGGTAATCAATTAAGTTTAGTTTCAAACTATTATAGTTTTGTCCATAATGTTATGAAAAAAATATTATTTCTTTTTATACTGTGTTGAAAAAATAGTTTAAAATTTAAATAAATTGAGTAAGTAAAAGTTTAAGAAGTTATTTTAGAAATTTATAATTTTTAGAAATATTATTTAAATTTATATATTTTTATCAATTTATTTTAATATCTTCAAGGATTTTTTTTTAATTAGGAGGATTATAGTATTCAAATTTTGTGTTTTAGTTTTGTTATATATATATATAGTCAAAAAATTAAATTATAGTATGTTTCGTTTAAGATCCTTTATCCTGTGGAAAATCTTTGGAGTTTTTTCTATAAGTGACATTGGAGTTTTAACAAGAAATACACAAAAGTTTTAGATATCATTATTTGATGATAGACAAAAATTATGATTTGACAATGTACCATTCAAGATATTTTAGTGCAATGAGGTCTTAATTAAACTTTGAAAGATGAAAAACCAAATACCATCAATGAAAGAAAATGGAGTCAAATCCAAAAGAAGGTTATGAACACGATTTGATTAACTCCTACCCCCAAGGTCAAGTGCAGTTTGTTAAAGGAGACAATATCTTCACGAACACATTAATGATTTCAACCAGTTAGTATGTCAACTGTTAAATGTAAATGTTTTTTTTTATTATGAAGAGCGGTAAATGTTGT